AATTATGAAAACACTTCTATACTAACTGCTTTTTCTAATATTTCTTAAGAAATACTTAGAATTATTTTTAAACTTCAGAAGTGTTTAGATCATGTGATTTCTCGTACATATCAGTGAAGTTCAAAACTCTTGGAGGCTTGAGGGACCGATAATAAATTGCAAAATAAACAAAATGTTTTTGAGCCCCCTGCGCCAAAAAAATAGCAAATAAAAATGATTTACCGATGATAAATTATATCAATTACTTTGGTTATTATATGAAATAATTGTACAAAAGCTTATAAACTTATTTTAAATAATCATGAAGATATAAACATTTTCATAAAAATAAAAATAAAATTTCTGTTTTACGTTTTTTTACCACGCCTTCATTGAATAAATTTTTTTAAAAAATTTTGAGTAATTTTTTGTTAATAACAAAAATATCCTTTTATTTTGAAAATAATTCGTTAAAAATTGCACAAGATATGAGCATTTAAATTAATCCTTCAGCACTGTGAATGCGCGGAAACATTTAAAAATTTTTATAATTTTGTTCTGAATCATATCATATTTTGTAACCTATGAAAAAAGTCCGATTTGAATATCTCGAAAATGTAAAAAAAATTTTCGCAAATTTCTAAGTTGCTTTTGTATTTTTTTAAGAGACCTTCAACTGATAAGAGATTTTCTACAAATTTTATATTGCATCATATTACAAAATTTTGCAACAAATTATATCATTCTACAAAGAAGTTCTGAACTACAAAATGTGATTGTAAAAAGGAATGGTACTATACAATGCCAGTGTCTGTTTTAATGACCTTAGTTAATAGTAGAAAATAAAATTTATGGAAACACCTTTACCATTCACAGCTTTCTTTAAAAATTTGCAAAAACTACTTAGAAAGTTGATTAAAAATTTCTGAAATTTTCAAGATATTTAAACCAAATAATTTAATATTCTACCAGAAACGATTCAGAACAAAATTATAAAAAAAAAATTTTAATGCCTTCCGAGCATCCACTACATGAGAGGATTACTTTATATACTCATATCAAACACAATTTTTAACGAATCATTTTCAGATTTTTCAAAGGTTTCTACAATTTTAGTAAGAAAACGTAAAGCAAAAAAATTAGTTTTTTCTTATAAGTATGTCAATATATCCATGAATATTTAAGCTAGGTTTACGAAATTTTGTGCACATATTATAATCAAAGTTATTAATAAAAATCATAAGCTTATTGCTATATTTTTTAACGCAGGGTGTCCAAAAATATTATTTTCTTTCATAATTTATCTCCGGTCCTTCAAACCTTTAAAAGCTTTAAACTTCACTAATATGTGCAAAAAGAAATCGCACAGCTTAAGCATTTCTAAAGATATTAAATGATTATCTAAGTATTTAATGAGAAATATGTAAAATGAGTTAGTATAGAAGTGTTTTCATAATTTTTTCCAACCCCTGTATGACCAATGAAGAATAGCATTCAGTCCAGAGAAGATGCGAATTATGTTCAAACAAAATGCAACAAAAAAAATAATAATAATAAAGTGAAGAAAGATTAAACATTAAAAAAATATATGTTTTCAATCTGTTGCTTAGGAGCTCAAGGCGCAACAAAAATGATTCCCAATTCAAATGAAAACATAGTCATTTCCGACAAAAAAAATAATACTGTATTTTAAATAATTAAGTTTTGAATTTTGAAATAACGTAATTTTAAAAGCGAAGTTGCAAGGGTTAAGACGCAAGGTAAGGACGCTATACCACGTTGAGAATCTGTCCCGACAAGTTCTTTTCACCGTCATGAGTAATTTGGAGCTTAAACTATACAAAAACTGATTTCAGGTAATTCTAAAGTGAACCATGAAATCTTAAATGCTGAAAAAAATCTTTCAAAATATTAAAATCTACGATGTGGAGAATATTTTCTTCTCCTCCAATATTTTTTTAGCAGTTTGGTACTCCAACATTTGAAACTTCATTGCTTACTCTAGGTTTAACTAAACTCACTTTCCTCTAAACTTTAAATTTTTAAATACAAATGAATAGAAAACAAGGGCCAGGATAGCCTTGCTGGTAGGACGTTGGGCTCGTGTTCGTGAGAACAGAAGTTTGAAACCCACCGTCCGAAAAATCCCCGTGTATTAAATGGTAACTGGTGCACGCTAAATCTGTCCGAGTCAGAAAATCCTTTTCTTGTCTTGTTGGTTGGTCGGGGTGCCTGAGGCCGAGATGGCCATTTACCCCTTCATCGTGAGATGAGGATCGATGAGGTGGAACACTGAGGTCAGGAGCATAAAGCTAAAGATGAGAAGGGGGGGATGACTCATTGCCATGGAGAGGAAAAGCTGTGAGATGACTTGAAAACGAGTTGAGAGTAATCAACACAAATGAAGTCTACTGTGCTATGCTTGACGAAAACATCTCACTGTTTTTAAGATTACTTATCTCGATTAGATAATTAGCATCTCCAGTCTCCCGCTAGTAACTAAACTGGGCGAGGACCCGAAGGACAATAGAGGTTAGTAAAGCCAGACTCCTTCTTGTGAAACATGCTTCGACCAGTCAGTTTCGAACGCAAATGGCAGTCATTAACAGTTTGATCGGACAATTCCTAGATGCTACTAACGGAAGGTCAAAGCAATCATCACGTTCGCGTACGTCGAAGCTAAACAATTTGCTACTGCCGCTTACACGGTGTGTTCACGTTGGCTGGATTTGAAAACTATTTCATCTTGATGTTCTGTCTTTCAAACATTGATCAGTGATCGACGTCGCAGAAGTACTGCCGTCATCAGGCTTGCATGAAACGCTCACGAAGAGAGGAACACAAAGTCCTATAAGTTCCCACAACAGATCAATACCTCTAGGGCAGGAATGGGCAAACTACGGCTTTGAATTTATTGAGTTGCAATCTAACAATCATCTGAAGCAGTTGTTTTTAAATATGCCAAAGTTTGGGTTTTACAAATCATTACCAAAAGCTAGTTTCCAAAATTTAATATCTCATGCCCAGAAAATCAATGTTATGTTTGCTTCATCTTATATATGTGAACAAGTGCTTTCAACTATGAATCTTAGAAAAAATAATTTCAGAAGTAGACTAACAGACAATCATTTAGCCTTAAAATAAGTACATCGAAATAAAAAATTAAAATAATAAAGTAAAATAAGAACTTTTGAAAATGAAATCGCTATTTTATTCATCTCATAAATATTTAAATTAAAGCTTGTATATTGTTTCTTTATTTTAGGAATTTTTTCTTAGCCCAACAAACTTTTCTTTTTCAATTTTTAGCCCTGGAACAAAAATGTTTGCCCATCCCTACTCTAGGGGTATTGAATTGGAGATAGGTCGTTTTCTAGTTCAGGTCAAAATTACGATCTGTGGATGAATGAATGAAGTATAATTTGTTCCTCCCTGTAAAACGGGCTGTAACGTGTGTGTGGCTGAGGTCGTATTATTAAGCATAGATGACGCAGCTACCTTAAAAATTTGCTTGATTCCCAAACAGGAACAACGCATAAGGAACAACTCATGAAACAAAATTTTTGTCTATAGACGGCTAAATCTGTGATATAGTGCTCTCTTAAGCTTCACTAAACACTTGCAGAAGGTTAGCCAAAGACTGTATTAGCTTTACTGTATACTTTAAGCTTTACCGTAAGCAACTTTTTTCTAAACTTAACGCTCTTTTTTTACTTAATAATTTGTTTTTGACTTAATATTTTACGACTTACTTTTTACTTCACTCTTTACTTTATATTTTATCTTTACTTTATTTTATACTCTAAGCCTTACTATATACTTTACTTTATGATATACTATTGTTTACGCTTTACTTATTTTTTACTTTACTTTAGTTATTACTGTATTTTGCTTTTTACTTTATTTTTCATTTTACTTAACATATTTTTACTGTATATTTTACTTTAGGTTATGCGCTTTTTTATTTTATACTTAACTCTTTACTTTACTTTATACTTTCTCGTTTATTTTACTTTATATTTTACGCTTTACATTTTTTTTTGTATTTTTTACTTTACTTTATTCTTTATTTCATATTTTACACTTTGTTTTACTTTACGCTTTACTTTGTCGAACATTACTCTATATTGTACTTTACATTTTAAGCTTTACTTGACGCTTTACTTAATTTTACGCTTTACTTTGCACTTTATTTTTTATTCTACATATTATATTTTATGGTTTATATTTCCTCAATTTATGCTTTACTTTATTTTATGCTTTACGTTTTACTTTACTTTCGCTTTATTTATTTTTCTTGTACTTCATGCTTTATTTTACTTCATTCTTCTCGCTTTACTTTATACTTCAAACTCTACTTTACTTGCTATTTAAATTTTTAATTTACTCTTTGCTTTTATTTTACCTTTTACTTTACTTTATGCTTTATTTTATTCAACTCTTTATTTTAGTTTGCGCTTTACTTTGCTTTTCTTATGCCTGAATCTTCCAGTGAAAAAAGCTTTCAAATTTATCCGCTACGGAAATTCTGCTCTCAATACTTTTCTAGTAATCAAAAGTGGTACGATTTTGGAAAGATACGATTTAGGCAACTTTCCTCTACTTCCTGCAAATTTTTCTAAGCACCTTCGTAATTTCAAGTTTCTATGTATATAGTTTTTATGCATCAAAACAAAGGTAACGTCAAGTTGAACACACAAAACAGCGGTAGTTGGCCTTTACGATTTTTTAATATCGAAAGAGGAAAAAAATGCATAAAAATGAGTATACTTCATGAGTTATTTCCGATATAATTCTGAGCTACAAGGTGACGCAGCTTTACAAACTTCTATCGCCAGATGAGTGGACACTAAAATATAAATACATTTATGCCATAAAATTTTGACATTAAAGTCCTTTTATGGATACCGGAAAGGAAAGTAAAACATTCTTGTGAAGGAGAAATCAATATTAATAGAACACGATTAAATAGTTTTAAAGCAATGTCGTTCAAATTTAGATTTAAAGCACATTAAATTATATAAAAAAGGTGAAGACGATGATGCCACAAATATTAAGATTTTCTATGTATCATATGTAGGAAATACATAGTTTGTTACGTCTTCTGTTCATGTGTGGATTTTCTAGAAAGTAGCTTTAGAAAAAGGTAAAACTTCTATTCAGTAGATATCTCTTTTAATTACGTTAGTTTTAGCTTATTTTACATTAATTGCGATCTGTGATTGTTTGAAAACAAAACTTACCAAAAAATGCAATTGTCAATTTTTCGTTGACTTAACTTGGAATCGACGTAGTAATTTTTCTCGGCGACAACTCAAAATTATTGATATGGTATTTTTTTCCCTTGCTTTAGAAGTATCTATCATGCTCAAAATTAATGTTAAATAGCTTTTTTTTCAGCTCTAAATAAACAGTTGACCACACTGTTACTTATTTACCTAGGTTTAGTCATCCCTTTTCGTAAGAGCCAAAATTATCGTTTCTTATATTTCAAGAAGTAAAATCCTCTCTTTTATTTCGGGGGCAAAATTTAGATGAAAATGCAACATATTTTTTTCCAAATTAAGAATTTACTACTTCTGAACTAATATGCCCTAGAATACCTCTGATCAGGATTCTAACCTGAATTTTTGCATACATGACGCAATGTACTATCACAGTAATCTACAACTAAATTTAAAAAGATCAAAAGTTATTATTTTTTTAACTGCATACAAAGATTCTCAAGATTCTCTCTATTTTAATGAAGGAAAAATAGTGTTTACGAACAGTCATTAATACATCAATGCTAATTTTTTTTTACCTTATACTTTTATTTAGTTTATCTCTATCAGACACTTAGACAATAGTATTAGTACAAACCAATAACATTTTTGTAAAATAGGAAAATTTCTGAATTTATTTCATGTTATGATAAATCAAAATATTCATGTGTAACAGGTACAATTTAATAACTATTTGAACTAACTCTATTGAATATGTACTTGTATTGAATAAATAGCTTACTTTATTCTGAGAAAAATTATTTGTGATCTAACTATTTAAAAAAAAAAAACTTAAGCATTATTCAAAAAAATGCATAGTAACTCTCAAGTATTCGACCATATACATGAAAATCCCCAATTTGCTATGTATAGACGTCTCCATTCCAAACATTAGCAACCATAGCGGTTTTCGAATTATATGCTAATGTGATAGGCAGATGTAGAAAGAATCTCTAAAAGTAGATTTTTCTCTGCACTCCATTCCAGATTGTGGTATTGAAAGATTACAGATTATATTATTGATTTCTATTAACGATTAGATTAAATGATTTTTATTACCGATTGTATTAATGATTTTTATTAATTAAAAAAAGGATCATTAAATAAGATAATAGTTTAGTTTTTAAAAGCAAGGAAATATGCTATGCATATTTTAGCATGAAAGTTCTATAGATTCATGTTTAGTCTACTAATACCAATACATGAGAAATATTACCTCGCTTGTGAAGCCTATGATTGCCTTTCTATTCTACTTTATTCGAAACATTTGCATATTTATATTATTTAGAGTATTTTAAGTAAAGCTTAAGCTAAAAAAATTTACTCAAAAAATTTTATCGAAAAGTTCTAAATTATTTCGGTTCCTTTTTCGATTATTTCGGTTTACATAATTGTAATATACCAAAAATGAAATTTTTTCACAACAAATTCCAATTGAAATAATTAGGAATATCATTTTTAAATTAAGGGAAAGGTGTAAACTTTTTGCAAAAAAAAATATCTTTGAGCTCTTGTGCTGTCAAGTTTACAAAAAAAAAAAAAAATTTCGTAAAAATGTCTTTTAATATTACAGGCAGTAGGATTCGTGCTCCTTGAAGTAATCCGTATCGATTTTGCTACCACTTTTCCCTTTTATGGAACGTCTCAAATAACTGCATTCTTATAAGTTATTAATAAGATTTCAAAAGTTAAATTAATAATACAGTAATGCAATTTAGTTATATAATTTTAATACAATTTAATAATACAATTTTTAGCCAGGACATTACGATATCTACTGCAAAGAACAAGCTGATATGTTGGCAAAAAAAAGGCACAAAAATAATCCAACAACCAAATTCCAACAGATCCGTTCATTCCACGAAAATCCACATCAAAAATTTTATGTGAAAAAATAGGAAAGTGTCCCTTTCTTCCCGTATATCTCTGAAAAGTTAGGGGAACATTTTAGACAGCGACATTTCTGACAGACCCCGTGAAATGGCTGTGGCAGAATTTAGACTTGCGGTGGGTCATGAATGTCTTGCGTACCATCTCCACCGCAATGGTATTTTTACGAGTCCAAATTGCCCACTCTATAGGAAATTCGAAGTAATGGATAAGAAGCACTTGATAGGATGTTCGGATGTACACGGAGACTCCGAAGTGAAAAGATATTGGAGTGCTAGGCATCTGCTAATGAGTCATTGACTTGTTTCACTTATTTATTTCATTTGCATATATAGTTAAGAGTTTGACAATTTCAGACATTGGAAATAATTAAAAAAAGAAAAAAAATTTTAATTATATATATATATAATTTTTAAGACAATTTAATAATATAAATTTTAATTCAATTTAATAATTATTTAAATCTTACTATTTTTCTCCTTTTTCATTTTTAGAATTTTCTGAAGACTTTTTTGACGAATTGATAGGGCATACAAAAAAGTACGATTTGAAAATTGTTCATCTGCATTAAAAAGCGATTTGAATACATTCTCTCCCGAAATGAAACCAATTTCCATAGAAGAGACTGAAACTAAAATCTACTTAAAGCGTTATTGGATCTTATTCCTGTTCAGTGGTCTAGCATTTCTATGCAACTTTGGCTTTCCACAGTATGTCTCTATGGCAAATGTGAATACTTGTTACTATAAGATATCGAATGAAGCTCTAAACTGGACTGTTCAAATGACAATGCTCTTTTTTATTTTATTTGAAATTCCCTTGTCATTTGGCATAAACTACGTAGGACTTCGTTGGACTGTAATAGCTGGATCATTGGCTAACACTGCAGGTAAATATTATTCCACCCATATTGTGTATCCCAGAAATGACAAACAATATGAAAAATAAATTTCAAAAAAAGAACGTTTCTTGCTTCAAAACAAGTTATTGATTCCCAATCAATTTCAAAACTACTTGGGTAGTTGTTTAGCAGACGGTGATGAGAACTGAGGAAGAAAAAAAACTATAAAAATATATTTTAAAAATAACTTCTGTTTTCAGCAACAGTTACAGATTCTCATGCAAATATATCAATTGAAATGGTCTTTCATGCTGTGGAAAACGTTGTTCTATTGTATTTTTTTCCAATAAGTAGCGCCATCTGTTGATTAACGTCGTTATTGATTTTGAAACTTGGTAAGAAAAGCTCTCTAACTTCGTAAGCAGAACACAACAAAACCGTACGTTTCAATATCCTTCCATTTTTCAGAAATTATTTCTTAATTTCATTGATAATTTTTGGACAACTAGTGAAACGTTATCACTTGTTCCTGAAGAAGAAAAGAAATGTTGTCGCTACCATGCAACATCACATCTACCGAAGTATGTTTTGTCACCTTTAAATTTAACAAATTGCAAATACACGGGTGTGTTAGCTTGCATAAAGCTAACTCCAATGTTTTTGAATAAGTTATATGTACTGAATATCTTATAATGGTCACCCTTATTTTTGGAATCCCCGTAAAAGCTGAGGTTGTAAAACTATGTATAACCGAAATAATAAGTAAATATTTAAAGTCTTGAGACCAAAACCTTCCAAATTCTTGCAGTAAGAAAATATGTGCTTGAAATATTTTTTTTTTGCAAGTGATGGTAAACTACGTGTAAGTCAAAATCCAGAAACCTTCTTATTATACACATGTCACCGTGAAATAATGAAAGGAAAAAGAACAATCACATAATCGCTTTGGTGAATATCCAAAATATTTGTTTTGTACGATTTCATATTAGTTTATTCCTTTAATCTTAATATTTATTCCATATTTCAATAACAGAATTGCATGGATTAGGAAAAATATCTGGGTCGGGAATACCGGGCAACGGCATTTTAAAAAGATATCAGTGTAGGGATAAAGATTTTTAATCTTAAACATTAGGGCAGAGCATGGGCGCAATTTCGTCGACTAGCAAGTAACTAATTTCTAGTTAAAAAATAAATAATAGTTATATAAAAACACAGTAGCAAAAATTGCTAGTAACCTCTTATGAACTAGTTTTTTTATCGTGTTTTCATCCCTTTTCACGTTTTTTTTTCGATATTTTTATACCATATATCATTACGACACTCAAATTTCGAATTCGACATGATTCTACGTCCTCGCTCGATTCAAAACGTTTCCATTGTATATATATCCACGTCGTTATCCGATTGTTTTATCTGCAATCATTTATCGCTTTCTCGGTTTTTTTGTTGGTTCTTAAAATTTAGGTATTTACTTACTATTTTATTACGATACGCAAATTGCGAATGAAAGTAATCATTTTTAGACTCGAACTGTTCGAAGACCATTCCATTATTATTCCAAATCTTTTTCTTATCACATTTTTAACTGTTATTTATCGTTTTTTGAGTCTTTGAGTCATCTTCATATGATTTTTCAAAATTCGGAGCAAGAAACTCGAATCTGAGTAATCTCTTTTTCCAATCTTTATTCGCCATTTTTCCACCATCAATCCATGTTTTTTTTTCTATTATTTCCTCGATTATAATTTTTTTTTTTTGTTTCTCTGGTTTTTTTACCATGGCACAGTGGGCCAGAAGACCATGATCTTTGGCCAAAGGTCAAAAATTAAATTTCAACTGAAATATGTTTCGGCAGCTTCAATATCGCCCAAATTAAGTATTCATAATCATTCCAAACATTATAATTTACTTTTTGGACAGACGAGAGTACAATGTAGAGAAAAATATGTTTAAAGAAAAAATTTAAGTGTAACTTTTAAATTTATATTTCAGAAATATATATAGGAATTTCACCTTTCTGTTACATTTTTATCAGAGTAATTAGTCTGTAATTACAGTACAATTTTTCAATTTATTGGATTAGTTAATACTCTTGACAAACTTATAGTTTATATCTTATCATTTGACATTTTACAATGTTTGAATCACTTTCGAAACTTATCTCCAAAAAGTTCCACGAGGTAAATAGCTAAACTTTTTTTTGTTGTCTTCTTTGATGTGTCTTCTTTCGAAAAAACCTGTCCCATTTTGCCGGTATTGCAAAGGTAGATTAAATATACCGAAAAACAAAAATTGTGTTTTTTTTCTTTCATGTTTTTGCGCTATTGTGTAATATTAGTTCGGAAATATAATTTGCTTTTCATTTTTAATATAAAATTACGAAAATTATTATATTTTCNTTTTTTTTTTTTTTTTTTTTTTTTTTTTTTTTTTTTTTTTTTTTTTTTTTTTTTTTTTGCTTGCCATATTTTAGCCGCCATCTTGTTATTTTTTTTTTTTTATATATATAAATTTTTAGTGTATTTCAAAATTTCAACTATGAGTTCAATATTTACCTTCACATGAAAACCCTAAATAAAAACTCTCAAATTTTGAAACAAACTTTATCGAAATACTAATTTTGGCCACGAAACCTTGGATGCTGGCCCACTGTGCATGGTTTTCAATGTCCGTCATTTTTAATACGTTATTATTACGATATCGACATGTGAATTTCAAATTTGAGTAATCATGTTTTAGCGCGCTTAATTCGCTACGGTATCGTTGTAAATCCATTTCGCTTTCTGATCGTTTTTCGGCAGTTATTTATTTATTTTTTGGTCATTTCCACATGGGTTTTAGAACTCCAGTTTCTTAATACGTCGTTATTGCGGCACCTAAAGTTCAGATACGAGAAACCGACCATTTTCTCCGCAGTTATTTATTGTTTTTACTGTCCTTTTCGCACGGACTTTCAAATTACCATATTTTAATTTGATTTCATTACGCGACACGAATTTTAAATTACAGCAGTGACTTTTTAACGAGTTTAGTTAGCGACTATGTCATTGTAAATCAACGTCACTTTTCAATCCTTTTTTAGCAGTCATAGTACTTTTTTTTGCCCTTTTCCACATCCTTTTTATTATCTCAATACATTAAATGCGGTTTTATCATTTTATTTTATATTTTATGACCGTCGTTGAACAGCAAACCCAATTTTATGGGTTTACGACAACCAACGTTCAACTACGTAGCCTTGTAATTTTGAACCCAATCCAGAAGACGAGGGAACTCCTGGATCGAGTATTGGGAGAAATTTGCTTTCGTGGAGAACTTTTTGATGAAGCTAATCAGCATTTGCGTTACATTATGAGGAAGACCACGAAAACCTCCAACGGTTAGCCTGACGGCAAGGGAAATCAAACCCATGATCCGTCTTCCACTGAGGATATTTCACGTCAGCACTGTGGTCGGTTGCCGGATGCGGAATTCGTATCGACTGGGATTCGAACCCGGTTCTCTTCACTGGGAGGCGAACGCTCTATCCCCTAGCCATCGCGGATCACGGTTTAATTATTGATGAATTGAAAATCACTAATTTAAGTGATAATTTTTTAATTAACCTGGTTTGCGACGATTTCATGCATTTGTCTTATGAATTCGCGTAGATTTTTTGGTAACTTTTTGGGTTGTTGGCACACCAGAAAAGACTAATGCATTAAGCACCGATTAGAGCGGACGAGAATAAATACTTTGAAAACCGCAAAATGGAGAATATTTTAATCCTACTCCTTAATGACTTCCCACTTTATCCTACAACAACATACAACCCTATTTCGGTGGTTGAGAAGGAGATTGGTTGACGTAGATTGAGATTGCTATGTATTTACGTTTTTTTCAGTGTGTTAAAAAATTAGACCAAAATAGCAACATTTTATTATACGATCTCCATTATATCACGTACCTGTTTCCACCTACTGTACCTTTTGTAAGAAAATCAATATCTAAAGATAAAGTTTAGAATATTTAACCCAGAATTTGGCAGAAAACCTTAATTCGGAATATTAGTTGAAAGTCAAAACATCTCATCTAATTTACAAATTATTAACTGTTTCTCTTAAGACAGCTGGAAAAGAAAAAATATTTTATTTTCTAATTTTATACTAGTTCAACTCAAACTGTGAAATCACTTAAGGACTGAATGGTTTCTATTATATTTAGATATTTCAATAATAAGAAATAGAGACTTCTGGTATTTAAATTTTTAGTTTTATGGAATTGTCATGACACTTGAGATTAAATTGATATATTACATTTTTGCGAGTTGAAATTTTTTTTATTTAATATTTATGATTCTTTGTTTGTTTGCTAATATTTTATTTGATAAAAAAAAATTGTTATTTACAAAAGAAAGATGAAATTATAGTGAACATATGATTATTTATTAATGAAATGGGAATGCATAATGTATATATTGGTTGTTCGTGATATATTCATTCATGCATAATTATTAATTAAACTTAATGAGAATTGCTGCACGTTCCTTAATTGTCCTTAATGTTCCCTTCTCTTAAATTGCATACTTGGGATGCTTAGAAAACAAATGTTTATTTTTTTAGCCTTTTTCATTCATCTCAAAAGCAAATTGTATAATTAATATTAAAGTTGCTAATTATTTGTACTTCGTAAAGCATAAAGAATTCTTACATTGAAAAATACAAATGAACATATCATGTTTAACAAAAAGATAAGTGCATTTCATTTCATGAATGTTTACAATTCTTCTAGAAATTCCATTCAATAGCTTTAAAACAAATCATGCGTTTATTTATAGTTTTAAACTAATCACACAACTTCTTACTAATCACACAACTTCTTTCCTAATCACACAACTTCTCATTTCACTAACTTCATTATACAATTTATCATACATTTTAGGAGGCAAAAAAACTGACTGAAATAGTTATTCTCATAACCATTTCTTTTATTTTGCCTTTTGGTAATAATCAAGGAATATTTCAGTATGAAATACATCTCATGTTCATATTTAGTATATATAAGTTTGCATGTAGTAAGTTTGCATTGTAAGACTATACTTGAAAGAATTTATTTATCTTCAGGCGAAATCAGATCTTTTCATGAAAAAAAAACCAATAAAACCCACTTATACCAGGAAAAAGACTTTTTTCATTAAAAAAACTCACTTGAGTTGAGTTTTTTTTCAAAATCTGGGTTTTTGCGAACCCTGCTTTCAATGCATTATCCACATCATCTAAAATTTAAATCAACGAAAGCTCCAAACTATGACTAACTCCCTCCTTCAGCCCATATTACGAAAAATAAATGCATTCTATAATGCGACCAATTTACATTCTCATGAGACTCGTCCTTCATTTTCTTTGAATCGTCATGTTGAAATGGTGCAATGAGCAAAAGATATAACCCTAAATAATTTTACTTTTAATGATCAAATTTTCAGTTACTAAAAATTCCATTCTTAGTGATTCAAAGGGTTGATTTAGGGTGATTTAGTGGTTGAAGGGATCCTGACCATTAAAATTTGGGAGAAACATCAATCTGGAAAATATCTCTCCAGATATCTCCCAATAATTTAGCCCGGAGAACGTTCGGGAGTTGGGTCACCTTAATGATATTTTCCCTTTTTGCGTATTTACCCCCATCTCTGAACCCTTAGAAACGAAGCGAAAGATTTTTGCAAAAATAATTCGCTAAAAATATAAACAAAATTTTTCAAGCTATTTAGGTCATTGTTGAATAATTCTGCTTAACTTTTATACCAGTGTGGGATATTCTGCTTATTTTTTTTTCAAATGGCTGGCACTGAACATTATTCTTCGCTTTAGAAGATGCCGGAATTGTTACTCATTTCACGTTACCCAGTGGGCACCTGTGAGCCAAAGTCACGGATGCGAGCAACATTACCCACGCCACACTGCCACAAACCCGTTTATAGGGTAAGCCACATTCACACATCACACACAACAGAGGACAACACAAAGAGAGAGAAACATCCATGCCCAGAGCGGGATTCGAACCCGCTGCCATTGACTTCGCAGTCAGGCGCGCTAACCGATCGGCCACCTGGCCGGCGATATTCTGTTCTGTTTATATTGGGTATTCTGTATGTATACCTAATAAAATCACTCTAAATAAATGCATCGTAGCATCATAGACGCTGAATCTTTATTTATTACTGCCAAAACAATTGAAAATACTTGTAATAGCCCCAGTTATTTCTTTGGGATAATTTTTAATCCAAAAAGTTTCGCGTGGGGAAATTGACCCTTTATCATTTCAAAACCACAGCTTTAACGAAAAGCCGTTTATTTTACACGCAAATTTCCAACTAATTTATCTAATTTATTTACTTATTACTAATTTTTTTTTTAAATTGTTTTCAAATATTTTGTTCCTTTACCAGCCAGCGCTTTAGATTTTGCTGGATTGAAACCCAATGGATTTCCGTTCGTGTTACTCAACACAGTCTTTACTTCAACTTCCAACATTTTAGTGAATGTTCTTCCACCGATTGTGGCAGCTGCCTGGTTTCCGAACAACGAACTATCTCGTGCCTGTGCAACTGGATTATTTGGAATGCAGGTTAGTGATTTCTAATTTATTTTCGGTACCACTTATAGTTGCATACAAAGGGTTCTCGGAATCTTCAGGTGCAAATTTGGAAGGGGTTATAAAGTCTAAAAATATTTAAAAAATAATTGGCTGACAAAAGCATGAATAAAAGTAAAAATATTAAAAAAATAACGGGCTAGCAAGAGCATGAATAAAATAAAATAAACATATGAAGAGAAAAATAAAAAAATAAGCGCAGACGATAAAATTAGAATAACAATTTTTAGAACAGCAGAGTTGTTGATTTTTTAGAGATTAGTTTTGGTTTGGAATTGGTGTTTTCTTATAACCCGTTATGGGTTTTTGCAGCTTGTTTTATTAGATTATAACTACCCCGTTACGGGTACTTCATATTTGTTACTATTTGTGTTTCTGAATAAAAGTCTTTTTCATAAAAAAAAACTGAACTGTTATTTATATAGCTTATGATACGTTACAGGGTAGAAAACATTATTATAACTATATTTGCTATAGGAATAAAAACGTCATCATTACATGATGGTGACACCTTACTGTATCTCTGTACATTTTAAGCATAATATGCACAAATACAGTAAGGTGACTAAACAAAAAGTACAGTATATTACTTGCTTTTTTACAACAAAATACTATGTATAGCTTACATTTATAATAAGAGAAGACGTTAGACATTTATAATAAGAGAAGACTATTGACGTGATTGCCCACGTAATACGTATGAGTCGTTCAAAACAATTTACTCTAATGCTTGAAGCATTGTTGTTGTAGACCTGTGACTACTTTAACTCGTCATTGCACTTACATTATCTATTTCAATTTATGAGGGTAATATAGAAAATTGCAAAAGCTATGCGCATTGTATTTAGTCGTGTCCACTTTATAATAAATTGTAATTTATATTACCTGATTAAAAACTTCCTTCTCTTCAAAAATACATATAAAGGAAATACGGTCCACTTATTTCAAGCGCATCAATAATAGCCACTCATTTTGAAGACTTGCCATCGTCGAGATTGAGAAGAAACAAAAGTGATTTGGACTATAAAACGTAAAATTGCCAACGTTACTCATCACCCTGTACATTGGGAAAACTAATTACGTGGTTTGCCATATTTATTACTCAGATTATGAACAATTTTTAAAAGTAATAGTTCTAAGTAATTAAAACCAGTTGCTCATGAGAAAAAAAATAATAAAGTTTTTTTTTATTTAATATCTTTGCATTAATTTAGTGACTGATATAATGATATTTTTTTTCCTTTCAAGCTGGGATTTGCTGCTGGTTATCCTTTTGCTCCTCTAATAATTTCAAACAATTGTACAGATACTGCTTCAATCGAAGAGGGCAAATTTAAAGTAGCTACAATTCTTACCACAGCCAATGTACTTTGGTTGATATTAATAGTATTGAGTGAGTATATTAAGGATTTTTTTCTTGTATAATTGCAATTATAATGTACAGAGTTAAATGTCACACAGAAAAATAACTTTGGCACCATATATATATATATATATATATATATATATATATATATA